TCATCCCCTGTACCAAGGTTCTCAGTCGGGAGTTACACAACTGGCTCACTGCGTCCTTGGGAAGGATTTGCTGCTCTTGTGGGAAGGTCTAGAAAGAGCTCCCCGAGGAAGAACGGAGACAGCGTTGAGAGGGTGGGCAGAGGGCAGTGGCTCAGCCACCACTGCCCTCACATCCCTCCCGCTTCCTGCCACGACCTTTCTAAGTCGGGCAGTGTTTTCCTATAAAACTGCTAACAATTTTCATGGTTTAGATTTTTTTAAGACAGTTAGAGAAAGAGACTGGAAGATCTGCTGGTCCTCTTCCCAAGTGGGCACAATGGCCAGGAGCCCAGAACCCGGTTTGGTTTTCCCACATGGGCGGCAGGAGCCCAAGCACTTGGGCCATCATCGGCTGCTTTTCCAGGAGCACTAGCAGGGAGCTGGGTCAGAAGTGGAGCAGCTGGCACTCTGTTATGGGGTGCTGGCATTGCAGGTGGCAGCTTAGTCCACTGCCCACAGTGCTGGCCCCCATGGCTTTAGCTTTATGCGTGCGTGGTATGTAAGGCGTGTAACACGTGATCATAGCTGTTCTGGGGGGTCTTATTTCCATGCAGGTCCCTGCTTCTCTGGCGCCACTCCCCTCTCTAATTGCTGCCAAGGCCACACACAGCCCAGCGCTGCTCTGTATCACACAGCGTCCACCTCTTCCTCTCTACCAGGTTGGAGGAAGTCTAAGACCTCAGTCCAGCTTGCCTGCCTGTGTGGCCCTGAACAGTGCCCACCATGTGCTCTGTTTCAGCACCTCTTCTGCTCTCACGGGAAGGTCCTTGTTCTAGGCTCTTCTCAGACCCTCCCTGTGTCTGTGAACTTGATCCTCCTGTTTCTCTTGGTAGACCAAGGCCTAAGCACATTGGGGCACATTTGGCTAAGAGCACTGCTCTCTCAGCTCCTTCTCCTCCTTTGTCTGCGCAGGAAGATGTGGCCCGAAGGGGCGGGACTTCCCTGGCTGGCTGAGTCTCCTCTCAGGGACCGTGGTCTTGAGCTCCACTCAGACACGCTCAGATCTGGCATCAGTCCCGGCAGCACAGTGGCCCCTGCCGGCCTCGGGAGAGGCAAGGGCGGGTGGGAGCCACAGGGCTGGGCTGAGGGCAGGACTCTGACTGCACCGCTGTGTAGGGCTCCACCTGTGTGTCCACACCTGTGTTCTGGCCCCACCTGTCATGTCTGTCTCTGCAGCCTCTACCTCAGAGGAGTTGGGAGAAGCTGGATCGCTGAGGCCTGTGAGGTGCCTGGATCTCCCCTGCGGGGTCTAGCAGTTCATCCTTAACCTGCCCTCTGAGGTCCCACAGCGAGCAGGTGACCTGCCCAGGCTGACACAGGCCCCTTGCCGTGGGCAGGGCTGACCAGACACTGCCTCGCAGTAGTGGCCGCCACGCTTCCCCGTGTATGACTGAGACAACCTTTGGGTCACACAGAGGTGCTGTGGTTTTCTGTTTCGTGTTGTTTGGCTGTAGCTCAGGGGAGTGACTCATCTTCCAGACTTTCCCAGCATGCTCTGGGGCCTCAGGCCTCTCATTACCTGGAATATGAAAGTGGCACGTGTTTGTTTAGTTTTCATTTCCCCTGCCCTTCACAGGGGATTAACTGAGTGGAGCAGAAGGAATTGGCCTGCCCCTCGAGCTGGCAGGGCTGGTGATTAGCACAGACCTCGGGGCCACTGATGTCGACACACAGGAGCCACCAGGGCCCCGCCTGAAGTCACACGAGAGCAGTGGCACGGGCTACAAGTGTGAGCTTCCTTAGTTGTGCGCTGAGGAGTCCCTCCAGCCGCCGCCCTGGGCGGTCTGCAGTATGGTTGGGGGACCCGGCCTCAGACGGGGAGGGGCGGGCAGACCTGTGGACCGCCGCTTCCACGCTGACTGCCTGGTTGCCTCCTTACCCGGGTAACGGTTTGACCAGGGACCTGTGCGAAGACTGACAGAAGCCATCTGCAGGGTGGTGGCAAGCTCGCCCCGTACTGTTGAAAGGGACGCAGGTGGCAGCGAGTGACTGCCGTGACTCAGTTGCAGCTCAGCAGGCCTGACGACACCAGGAGACAGGTGCCACGTGGAGGGGCATGGTGCCCTCCCCTGGACCACGCACGTCCACGGCCACCGTGCCCTGCAGTGTCCTCACAGACACCGCATGACACGGAGATCTATTTCTGCCCGCACTATGGCAGAGCCAGGCGCTATTAATAACGTAGCCGTGGGGACTGGGGAGTCCAGTCCTGCCAGAGCCCAGCGTGTTTGCTCAGGGCTCTCGGTCGCTCCAGCACATTTCCCATCTCGGTTGCTCCAGCACATTTCCCATTTAGCGCCGCCTCCGAGCGTGTCAGGCTTGATCTGTGACCTTACTAGGACATCGCCAAGCGTACAGGACAGGATTGGAGGCCCAGGCCCTGGAGGCTGCCGGGGTTCCACAGGCATGCGTGCCCGACGCACGCTTTCAGCACCTCACTGCAGCAGTGGCGTCTGCTCTGCACACAGGAGCTGCTGGGGGAGCTGAGGGAGCCCCGAGTTGCTCCCGCTGATGAGGCCGTTGCATCAGTTATGGTGCCCTGGGCTCCTGCTGTCTCCAGACACAGCGTTCCCTGTCACAACCCAGAGCTCAGCCTGAGCGACTCTCAACGGCTGGAGTTCAGACCCAAGGCTCTGTAGCTTGCGCTATAGGAAGCTGCCGTAGTCCCGTTTCTGACCAAAAATGGCAATTTTACGGCCCATAAAATGCAGGCAATGCACTGCCCCTGAAAGGAAATCTGGAGTCTCCTCCGGTCGTCACAAGGCCTCCTTGCAGACTGGAACCCGGAGGACGAGCCTGCGCTCCGCTACCTCTGCACCGGTTATTGCTGCGCTGTCAGTAAACACGCCATGGGAAACACAGAAACGGCAGGGCACTGAAAACCCGGATGCAGGCCTCCAGGTCTGCATATGTTCATGTGTAGTCATGTCACCACGTCCTCCTGGCTGCACATGTCCACGTGTGGTCCTGTCACCACGTCCTGGCTGCACGTGTCCACGTGTGGTCATGTCACCACGTCCTCCTGGCTGCACGTATCCACATGTAGTCATGTCACCACATCCTCCTGGCTGCACATGTCCACATGTAGTCATGTCACCACGTCCTCCTGGCTGCACATGTCCACGTGTGGTCCTGTCACCACGTCCTGGCTGCACGTGTCCACGTGTGGTCCTGTCACCACATCCTCCTGGCTGCACGTGTCCACGTGTGGTCATGTCACCACGTCCTGGCTGCACATGTCCACGTGTGGTCACGTCACCACGTCCTCCTGGCTGCACGTGTCCACGTGTGGTCACGTCACCACGTCCTCCTGGCTGCACGTGTCCACGTGTGGTCACGTCACCACGTCCTCCTGGCTGCACGTGTCCACGTGTGGTCACGTCACCACGTCCTCCTGGCTGCACGTGTCCACGTGTAGTCATGTCACCACTTCCTCCTGGGCATTGCAGTGATTCCTAGCATCAGAACCTAGAGCTTGTGGTAGGCTGCATTTCAGTGAGCAGATGGCCTGCGTGTCTGTGGGGCAGGTGGCCTGCGTGTCTGTGTGTCTGTGGGGCAGGTGGCCTGTGTGTGGGGCAGGTGGCCTGCGTGTCTGCATGTCTGTGGGGCAGGTGGCCTGTGTGTGGGGCAGGTGGCCCGTGTGTCTGCATGTCTGTGGGGCAGGTGGCCTGTGTGTCTGTGGGGCAGGTGGCCTGCATGTCTGTGGGGCAGGTGGCCTGCGTGTCTGCGTGTCTGTGGGGCAGGTGGCCTGCGTGTCTGCATGTCCGTGGGGCAGGTGGCCTGTGTGTCTGTGAGGCAGGTGGCCTGTGTGTCTGCATGTCTGTGGGGCAGGTGGCCTGCATGTCTGCGTGTCTGTGGGGCAGGTGGCCTGCATGTCTGTGGGGTAGGTGGCCTGCGTGTCTGTGGGGCAGGTGCATGCAAAGGTGACCTGGGGAGAGGCGACCCTGAGCTTTTGGTGCACACTGTCACCTGTGACAATCTCTGCTTCCGAGTTCTTCTCCTGGGAGTAACACGTGCTACACTCACCTCTCGCTCCTGGTCCTAGTTACCTCCCCTGATCTAGTTAGACCGGGAAGGATGGAGGGGCTAACGGGGGTTACGCCTCTGAGTCTTCACCAGTCATCCTGGCAATGGGTTGTTAAATGCATAACACTCCAGAGGGTTTTGTGGGTCAAGAGATACACGGTAAGGAAGGGGCCAGTCAGTGGGTTCTAGAACGAGATGCCAGGCACTGGAGGGGCCTTGCTACCCTGCGGGGGAAACTGAGGGTGGAGCAAGCAGGTGAGTGACAGCCACTCAGCTCCCTGAGGAGGCACAGTGAGGAGCTCCCGTCCAGCCCAGCCCCTCCCTACACCAGGGTTTGGCTCCATGTGATATTTTGTTCCTTGCTGTCTACATTTCTTTTCCCTGGAACCGTGTGGTAGAAATCATGTAAGATGTGTACCGCTGATTAATATGCCGCAGTAAGTCCAGGATCTCAGTGGATTACATTTAAGACGAGACAGTAAACTGAGTGAGTCTGGGTATTTGAAAGAAGGTGGTAAAATATCTTTCGCGGTGCTCTGTTACTTCAACAGAGCGAGGAGCACTGGGCCGGCGGCCCTCTCAGGCGCTGTCGCCTCTCCTCTGTCCTCTTTCCAGACTGCATTTGCACCCTCCACGCACCCCCCAGGGGAAGGCATTGGGCGAGATAGTGGAACATGGCGGGAGGCGCGGGGTTCTGACCCAGTATTGTGGAAGCTGAACCAGTCAGAGTCACTGTGGCTTCGCTGTGTAACTTAAGAACCAGTAAGAACCAGACCGAGTTAGTGTAGGGACCATCCCCTCTGGAAGAACCCCAGTGCGCTGTTTAGTGACGATGAGCAGGCAGGAGAGAGAGAACGCGGAGCTGCTGGTGGGCGGCGGATTTCCACACCAGCAGTGACTCATTCTGCAAAACTGGATGTTTAGCAAACACTCACTGTTGTAGCAGGGAAGACAGAACATCTCGTGGTGGGGACCAGCGTTGACTTCTGTACCTGACGTGCAGCGCTCCGGGGGCTGCTCTTGCCCTTCAGAATACAGAGAAGGGAGGTGAAATGTTAGGCCAGGCGTCCTTTATGAGGGAAACGAGTTTTTCTAGAACCGTGTTTGTGAAGGGTCTTGGATCCGAGGTTTCTGGTCTTGATCCCTTACTGGCTGTGGGTCAGATCCTGGCTCCCAGTGAGTTGGTAAACACCGCACTGCGTAGGCCTTGGGAGCTGCAGGTTTGCACACATGCACCTGCGGTGATGTCTCCCCCAGAAGCCCCTTCGTGGCCGGCAGAGGCGCCTAGCCTGGGAGCAGTAGGCAGCTGTGGGAGCCCTGGAAGGGGTGGGGACACCCTGTTGCCCCTGGGATCACCGCTTTCTGAGCATGGCTGGGCCACCTCTGGGCCTCTTTCCCTTGGCCGAGTGAGGGTTAACCCTGATTACCTGTCTTCCCGCGAGCGCCAGGGCAGTGGTTGTGCGTGAGAAGGGGAGAGGGGCCCTGAGAAGCGGCAGCTTGAACGTTCGTCTCCGAGGCCCTCGTGGACGGAGGTGTGCAGCGCGTGGTGGAGGTGAGGCGGGACGGGGCCGCTGAGGCACGTACAGGACGTGGAGGTGAGGCGGGACGGGGCCGCTGAGGCACGTACAGGACGTGGAGGTGAGGCGGGACGGGGCCATTGAGGCACGTACAGGATGTGGAGGTGAGGCGGGACGGGGCCGCTGAGGCACGTACGGGACGTGGAGGTGAGGCGGGACGGGGCTGCTGAGGCACGTAGAGGACGCGGCGGTGAGGCGGGACGGGGCCTTCGAGGCAGAGCAGGCGCCCCACTGCCGGCCCAGGGCAGGGTGCCATGCGGCTCCTCTTGAAGATCGCAGTGGATGTAAAAGCACAGCCCTGCGTGGGCTTGGCGCGTTCCCCAGAGGCCGGGACACCGTGTCTGCCCGCCTGGGAGACCCTGCTCTCCCGCCAGGGAGGACAGAGGGCACTGCAGGAGGGAGCGCTGGGAGGGGCCGTTAGCCGGGACGGCTGGTTGCTAGGAACCAAATCTCACCTGAATTAACTGAAATTAAAAGGAGGCATTGACTGCACAGATAAAGGTGGCAATTTTGCAGGCACCCACAGCAGGACAGAGTCCAGCTGGGCTCCGGCAGTTCACGAGAACGGGCAGGTGGGCAGCGGCAGCCGCCAGGCCTGCTCTCTGGCTCGCCTCTTCCTCTACCCGGCGCACGCCGTGGCTTTCTGTCGAGTGTGCTGAGCTGCCCCGCTCGGTCTCAGGCTTCCTGACCCGTGGCCGTTTTCTCTGCAGCGGCTCTGGTTGCGCCTCAGCCCGCCGCTGCCATCCTCAGCCTCTGGTTTCTAAACCTTGGCCCAGAACCGTGAGAGCGTTGCCTGCTGCTGTCCACCAGTCCACCCGCGGGCTAATCGCGCAGCAGGGGCCTGGGATGTGGTCAGGCCAGTTCAGCTGGTCCTTTGCAGCACAGGGACACTGACCAGCAGGACTTCCCAGGGGTGGGAGCTGAGGAGACGGCATACCTGCTGCCCCTCCCTCCGTGGTACGGGGAAGCCTCAGTGGGAGAGCCAGAGTGGACAGAAGAGCGTGTGGAGCAGGGACAGGGGTTGGCTCCCGGTTCTCGGCCTCTATGAAGGGCACAGGAAGCCAATGGCGTGGCGATGGTGGCACCAGCATCGCCATGGATGGAGTGCTCCAGGAGGCCGAGCTGGGCCTGGGGTCCGTCTGCCCGTTCACAGGCACAGAAAGGCCCCACCACGTGTGTCTGAGCCCTGCTCACTGGAGTCTGCTTGCCGGCGTCCCGCTGAGTTCAGATCTCACAGCGAAGCTCCGGGAAGACTTGGAAGCTGGCGTTCCAGACTTCCTAACAGCAGAGTAGTGATGCACTTAGCTGGATGAATGCTGATGACTCCTGGCTCCGAAAGCTCTGACGAGCAGTGGATCCTGTGGGTCTAGAGATGGAGCAAGGTCAGCTGTGGAGATGACAGGCCTCGCAAGCAGCCCAGAGGGGTCACATCATCAAGTCAAGTTGTGCTTACCTTACGCTCAGTCCAGTCCAGTGCCTGGGAACAAGAACTAAGCAAAGAAGCAGACGCGCAGCGTATCCGCCCCACCTGCGTCCCGGGCGTGCAGTGCAGAGAGGCCCCTGTGTGCTGCGGTGGCCGCTCCTGCGCTGCCGTGAGTGTGTGATAAGTAGCTGTGTGGTAAGAGAGGAGCAGGGTGGGCCTGCCAGGAGGGAGTGAGCTGTGTGTGCTGAGGGTGGCGGTGCCGTTTCTGCAACTTTTACAGTCGGCGCCGATGGGGTCAGGTCTGGCTGCAGGAAAAGCCGTGCGCCGCACATGTGCCCTCGGCCCTGGGATTCTCTGCCCCTGGCCCTGCCTGTCACATCCAGTTACTGAGGGCATCGCTAGGGGTGACCACTAACGCTCCTTGAAAACAGACACGTGCCACTAGGCAGGCATTTGAATTCGAAGCTTAGTCCTTAATGGAAAGCCCAGTGTTGTTGCCTGGCCTTGCTGTCACAGTTACCTTACACGCACCTACATATATGTATCTGCTAATTGCTTAATCCAGTTCCATCTCAAATACGCGTTTAGCCAGCAAAGTTAATGCACCTGACAGCTGTTCCCCAAGTTTATTTCCAGTGTATTTAGAACAGATGCTAATTAAAGTATTCATTAGAGAGCAAACATATCTCCCAAGTAAATAATTATTAACCAAGCCAGAAACGAAAAGTCAGATTTTTTGAACATTGATTTCTCTCCAATCACAGGCTAGACTTTGCAGCTGAATCGGTCCCCAGCCCCACTGAGCCCAGCCCACGTCTGTTTGGAGGAGGACATGTGAGAACACGGCCTACGCCCCAACAGGGGGTCTGCCCGACTGCACCCACAGCTGTGCACGCTCATGGCTGCTGTTAAAATGCGCACACACCCAGTGAGGAGATGAGCAGTTGATCCTGTGCTTCGAGAGGTGGAGCAAGGTCAGCTGTGGAGATGACAGGCCTTGGCCATGAGTTTGCTTGCAGGCAGCCCAGATGGTCACATCATCAAGTTGTGCTTACCTTACGCTCGGTGTTGGTGCAGACCACTCTGGAAACAGGCTGTTCCCAAATCCAGGTCTGGCCGTGATGGGAGGTAGTGCTGGACAGAGCAGTTCTCGCGGAGAGTTGAGGCAAGGTGTATGCCCACTGAGGGGTGTGCCGAGGTACAGTCAAGTGAACACTTGAGGAAAAATTAACACGTGCCTTCTGCATTCTGTCATTTTAAAAGAATTAAAGCAGCAAAAACATTGCAAAAGTCCATCATTCTCATAAACATGAAAAAAATTTTTAATAAAGATTTATTTGAGAGGAAGATTTAGAGAGAGAGAGAGTTATCTTCCATCTGCTGGTTCACTTCCCAAATGACCACAATGGCTGGAGCTGTCCAGAGCCAGGAGCCAGGAGTTCTGGGTCTGCCATGTGGGCACTTGGGCCATCTTCCACTGATTTCCTGGCCATAAACAGAGCTGGATTGGGAGAGTAGCAGCTGGGACACAAACTGGCACCCATATGAGATGGTGGCACTGCAGGCAAAGGCTTAACTTAAGCCACAGCACCTGCCCCTGGAAAATTCTTGACAAAACATTAGAATCCAAACAACCCAGGGAGACAGAAATTCACTGGCAGTTCGAATCATAGACTAATACATCTTTCACCACAGTAACCCAGACTGGACCTGAGTTGCGAAGTGACCTCCTTCACCATGGTTAATGGACAGGAACAGGGTCACGTGGTACCCTCAGGCAAAAGGTCATCTGATGCAGTCGGTCGTTCGTGATGGAAACATGGCAGCAGCTAGGAATAATTCCTTAACCTGACAAGGGATGCTTCCCAAATCTCCACAGCAAGTGCCATTCTCTTACGTCATAACCTGGAAAATTCCCCTAAGACGGAACGTGGAGAGTGGCCGCTGTCACCACTTCTGTATGGCACTGAAACGGGAGGCCTCCACAGACAAGAAGAAGAAAGCGCGAGGAGTTATGGAGATTGGGCAGCAAGAAGGAAGCTGTCATTCGCAGACAATCAGGTTGTGCACATACAACATTTCCGAAGAACCTGTGGATGAACTGTTAGACCCAGTAAGAGAACAGAGGATGAATACTGGCTACTGATGGAGCCAGGACAGAAAGCCTTGCCCCATGCTGACTTCTCGCCTGCTAACCACAAGCAGGCCCCCGTCTCTCTGCCCTGCCTCGACTCAGACACACCACCCTCTTTAGAGTCCAGCCTCAGCCACAGCCCAAACCCTTCCCAGTCACACTGTGATCTCGCAGGACGTTTAGATCCAGCCCAAGTTCTCCCTCTGTCTCGGCAGCCCAGCTGGAGCTCAGACCCCGAGCCCGTTCCGCCACTTTGTACTGTGTAGATCCCTGGTCTGGAAGGGAAGGGGCTCCTTCCTGCTGTGCGTTCACCTGTGAGTGAGTCCCTCCCATGCTTTAATCTCCTGGATAGACCTGGTCTGGCCGTGGCTTCCTGCTCGGTCTCCTCTTTCCTGACAGATAAAATGCAAGCACACAAATAGCAGTGACATTTGTATAAAACTGGCAACAAGCAAATAGAAAATAAAACGTATTTGCAGTAGCGACCACAGGCTCAAGCACCTGGGAAGAAATCTAGCAATGCGCACAACTGAAAACCACGACTTTGAGGAAGACAGCAGAGTCCCATCAGTGGACACATCTACCTTGTGGTGCCTGGGAGGCTCAGGACCGAAACGGCCATTGCTCTTCAAAGTCCTAGGCGTCCCACTGTCAGCCAGGAGCCAAGCTGTGGATTTTTTTTTTCTTTCTCAGGAAGTGGCCTTACCTGCCATGCCATGGCGCCGACCCCACAATGCTTTCTGACCTTTCTCTCTGTCTCTCTCTCTCACTGTCCACTCTGCCTGTCAAAAACAAACAAACAAACAAAAAACGAATGGGACCAGCGCTGTGGCATGGCAGGCTAAGCCTCTGCTTACTGCTCTGGCATCCCATATGGGTGCTGGTTCATGTACCAGCTGTTCCTCTTCTGATCCAGCTCCCTGTTAATGCACCTGAGAAAGCAGTGGAAGATGCCCAAGTGTCCGGGCCCCTGCACCTACATGGGAGACCCAGAAGAAGCTTCTGGCTCCTGGCTTCAGAGCAGCCCAGTTCCAGCCATTGTGACCATCCGGGGAGGGAAGTAATGAATGGAAGTCCTTTCTCCCTGTCTCTCCCTCTCTCTGTGCATCTGCCTTTCAAATAAATAAGTAAAATCTTAGAAACATGAACCATGAAAGAGCAAAGTGTGATAGACTGACTGTGTTCACACTGAGAGCTTCCCTTCCTCCAGAGTGGGTGACGTGGCAGTGGCTGGTGGGAAGAAACAGTGCTGTGTGTTAATGTGATAGAATCTATCGCAGAGGCACATTAAAGTTCAAATCCAGAATATATACAGAAACCTTGAAAATCAGTAAGAGACAGGTCTACAATAAAATGAGCAAAAGACTCATGAAAGAGAATGTCTAAACAAACATGGAAAATTGCTCAAGTCCATTAATTGTCAGGAAATGCAAATTACAACC